TGCAATGTGGCTAATAAGGTGTATGTATCCTTGTGGTCACCCTGAGATTTTAGCTATGGCCTGTAGATGGAGGTAGATGGACACCCACTGCTGTTGAGCCAATACCAGTTTATAATAACCCTAAAGGGCAGAATAAAACTACCCCATACAGTTTCCAAGTTTCTAAACCTTTACAGAAATCGATGGTCACATCTTTCACCTGGAAAGTGGCTGGTGGGTTTGAACTGCAAACCTTACAGTTAGAAACTGAGCATTTGAACCATCATAGCACCAGATTTCTATTTAAAAGGTTAACATGAAAGTCAACCCCATAATCTTCCTATGCCATATACAACTCCATAGGATGTCCCTATGGAAGAAATGATCAAATGCACTCTGTTTTATATTTTTTTAATTTGGAGATCATAACAGGTATCGGGTTCATGCTAGTAGAGAAATCCAGATCTGACTGGAATCAAAATGACAAAATGGAAACAGCAGCGTTTGAGACACAGACCTGAGTTCTACTCTTGATTCCCCCAGTTATCAGACAGAGCTCCGTGTAAACTGGTACTTTGGAATTCTTTTAAAATTGCATTAAAAAACACATTTGGTTGCTATTTAAAGATGGAGGAGAAGGACCGTGAGGACTGAAACTCAGCCTCTCTTCCATAAAAATTACCATTGCCATAATTGTCTCCACTATTTATTTGCTGATGGGCTTGGGGGTGGGGACTTTCCATGGAAAAACTGAATTAAAGGGTAATGGATTTTCCCATGAACATTTTGGACTACATCTCCCCCCACTTGTATTTCATAATTTATCTTCTCTTCCAACCCCACACATTCCGCCACCTCCCCAGTGCATGGAAACATGCCCACTATGTGATAGACACTCCGTTTTCATTCAAGCTTATTCTGAACACATTGGATGATACTTACTTTCAGAAACAATAATATCCCTAATGTATTGACACTGTTTTTCAATATACAACAAACTCTGAAAACTGAAGTGCAAAAGAAATGAATATAGATAGGCAGAGCCTATGAGTGTTTGTATTGGTCTACGTGCATGTCTATCTGTATTTGAATGAGTTACGGTTGGAATAACTACCAAGGAAGTCTACAACTCCTTATATCCTGTTTGTCTAATAGATCCCTCTTTATGACCCAGTAACTCTCAAACTCACTGCCATTCAGTTGCCTCTGATTCCTAGCGGCCCTATAGGACAATGTAAAACTGTCCCTTAGGGTTTCCAAGATTGTAACTCTTTATAGGAATAGAAGGCCTCAGCCCTCTTCTGAGTAGCAGCCGGTAGTTTCAAACACGCCAAGCTTGTGGTGAGCAGCCCATTCCACCGCCAAGGCTGAGGACATAACATGTCGAAAAAGAAGAAAGTTTATAAAAGCTTCCTCAGAGTCGAAAGCAGCCTACCACATGATAAAAAACAACACAAGCTTTGGACCCCCAATGATTTCACCTCTTATGTCTGTTCCTCTGCTAACTAACTCTAGGAACGTTATTTAACCACAGTTAATATGTATATTTCAGGCGCTTAATGGGTATATTTTAGTATCTTGGAGATTAAATAAAATTGTGCTTGTAAGGCATCTGGCTCGTGGTGGCACGTAATAAGTGTGGGGGGTGTTTTATGTTGTTAGAAAGGAAAAATAAGAGCTACTTCTCCACAGTCGAAGCAAAGTTCACTAGAGGTAAAATCCAGACAACCTAACTAAGTTACATCATGGAAGAGAAAATCATTTACAATTACTTAAATGCTCTAGCACAGCTAGTCCACATTTTCTGGAGGGAAGCAGGAGGAGGGAAGGAGGTATTTCAATCTGTCTTTCCCACTGTGGCACCCATGAGAGATGATAGTCACTGTGTTGCTCATTCCCGGGTGCAATTTCTGGCAGTAGAAATCACTCCATCAGTACTTACCCACTCATGACAAGCGATCATGCTATCAAGTATGGGGTTATTGTTGGGATAAACCGAACCTGTGTTCGTGTAATTCAAAAATAAATAATTGCAGATGTATTCTTTAAACTAACGGAAATTGCAAATGGATTGGCAGACACCTCACAGCTAATCTAACTCAGTTTGATCCTATCGTTTCATAAATGAGCAGACTCCAGGCCTGGGGGATTAAAGGACCAGCTCAAAGTCAAACACGTAACTTGTGGAAAAGCAAGCGCCAAAATCAGAGTTATTTCTACACAAATTGTAGCAGAATCTTAATGCTATGAATGGTTTAATATTCCTTGATGTTTGTCAAACTATCATATCTCCATTGATGAAATTTAAGGATTCTATTATTTCTGTTCTTTTTGATGTGTCAAAAGTCCTTCTACTTCCTCGAATAGTAGTGATTTGGAACATTTGTCTTTTGTGTGTTGAACAAAACATTTAGTTTTGTTCAACACACATTTTGTGTCAACCATGTTCTAGGTCCGGGAACACAGGAGTGAACAAAACACAATCCCTGCTTTCATCCATTGGGACATATGGACATTAATTAAATTATATCCCAAAGTTAACTTTTTATGGTATTAAAGTATAAAGTACAGTACTTTAGATTTTAACACACTAGGGAAGGAAAATAGAATGAGAGAGAGGTCGTAGTTGTAAAATGTTGGGGGAGGGGTTGAATTAAGGAGTTGATGTCTTTTCATTCATTTCTATTGAATAAAGAAAGACAGATATAGAAAGGGATGCCCAATCATGCCAAGGAAATATCCTTCAGCTGGGTCTTCTCCCTATGGAGCCTCCATTTTAATTACGCAACTTCCCACGTGACCAGCAGGAACACCTGCCTGGCGATGTGGAGCGGTGTAGAAGGAAATCACGTCCTAGTTAAATCCCATGGAAATTGGAGTAGGGCCAGTTTAGGCTGACGTTTAAAATGTTTTCCCCAATTTGTTAACCTTAAACTTTTTAAAACGTTTACTATTACATTTAGAATGTTTCTAATTATTTGTATTCAACTTACTCCAAGTAGCCCTGGTGATGCAGCACTTGAGTGCTTGGCTGCTAACCGAAAAGTTAAGGGTCCCAACTCCAAATGAGAAAGATGTGACAGTCTACTTGCATGAGTATTACAGCCTTGAGAGCTTGATGGGGCAACTTCACGGTGTGGTAAATGAGTTACTGTGTTCACTAGGAGCCGCAGTAGACTCAATAGCATTAGGTTTAGTGTAGCCTGATTCTAAGTCTAGAATACTGTACTAATTAGGTTGCTAATTGTATATTTTATTCTGATTTCCTCCGTATGGTTATTGTACTGTGAATTTTGGACTAAACGAAAACACACTATGAATATTCATATAGCAATTTTCAAGCTGAGTATTCTATTTTAGAGGTTTGAAAAGGAGGCTCCAAGACTTCTTCACTCTTCTTGAACATTGTTCGATGATTGGCTATCATTCAAAATATTGTACAAGGGTAAGTCAAAAGTATTGCTACAATCAAAACTTTTCTATAAAAAACATCAAAATGTGAAGATTTATCAACGTATCCTCTTTCTGGTTGTATGCACATCTGAAATTGGTATTTCCACCTCTCTAGCTCTTTCTGAAGAATTTTGTACTCTTTGATCGGCAACACGTCTGAACAGCAGTTTGGTATCTCAAGACTCAAATCCTATTCCTTTTCAATGTTCTTTGAGTCTGGGGAACAAAATGAAATCTGGCGGGGGAAGATCAAAGCTTTAGGGAAGATAGGCTAAAGGGTTTTTTGTTGTTGTTTTTGAGGAAATGTACTTGGGGATCCTTTGCTACCCTCGAGAAAAGAGGAGGTGCATTACTCATACACTCCTACAATTTTCCTGTGCTCTTAGAGAAAGTCTACCTTTGGACTTCCTAAACAACAGTCCCATGGCCTCTGAGTTGGCCTCTCTGCCTTGAATGTAACTAGCCCAACATACTCCCTGAGAAGGCACTAGCTTTTTTAGCTCGTGGTTTCTGGATTATATTGGTAAATGCAAGATTCATGCCCGATCATGATTCATTCCATAAAATTGTCTTCCTCAGTTTTGATCTTACTTAAAAGACCGATGGGAAGATAGCTCTTTGAATGAGCTGGACTTTGTACAGCATTTTTGGAAGCTGTCAACCGCAAAGCTGGATGTGGCTCAAAATTGAAAATGTTGAACCATGTAAGATTCCAACTTCAATTGCTATTGCATTGATAGCAGTTCTGCAGGCTTCTGCCATCAGTGGTTGTGTGTTTTGTGTTTTACTTCAGCCACAGTTGCTCCATCTGTTGAGATTAATGGTCTTCCCTCTCATGGTCTCATCCCGGAGGTCTTCCCAACCTTCTTTGAAATGCTGTGAGAACTTTCGTTTTATTTGAGGCAGCATTCCCATACATTTATTCCAGGTGCTTCAATGATTTTGGGAAACGTGCACTTGAGAGTTTTATTAAAACTTTGATTAGCCGTAAGCCGGAAATCACTTTTTTCCACGACACAAAAGTTGTGTGTGTGTGTTTGTTTGTTTTTGTGGCACCCTAATGAGACTAAGGCAGAAGCATTCCTGAGAGAACTTGTCTGCAGTCATTCACTTAGAATGGTAACATGTTTCCCTATATCTTTTAAGTATAAAACTGTGCATGTATGAACTGAAACCCTAGTAGCAATACTTTTCTTAACTTACATATTTTCAATGTCAGATTAATTGTAAAACAAAACAAAAACCTGCTTTTGCAATAATATGACAATGTCACTTTGAACGATAGTGCTGTCCTTGTATGGGAGGGGAAAAAAAAGCTCACAGTGAACCTGCTCTGGACTGACCAGTGAAACTCGCAGAGCATAGGTGGTTAGTTGGTTAGTGCTGACAACTCTTTACAGGGTGAAAAGAATGTTACATTAGGAGGGGAAAATGTGGTTGATTCATTTGTTCAGTCTCTTTTCTTAATCATTCCAATAGTCCAGAGACTGAGACAGACATTTGACAAACTTAGAAAACATGTATCTAGAACAACTGCCCCTGTCTAATTAGATCTGGTGAACACTTACTTTCAATTGCCTTAATTTTATTTTCCCACGGAACACAAGCAGCTTTGAAGTTCTCGAAGTCACGGAGAAATTTCACCCATTTCTGAAAAAGAAGCCAAGTACAATAGTAAATCCCACCTTCTTGCTTTGCCAAGATGTTTACCTCCCACTCTCATTCCAAAGCATCACAAGGTTATGAGTTCTAAGACACCTCTAGCTTAGGAATTGCTTTCTGAAAAATAGAGAACCTGCAGATTTCATTTGCTTCCCTGTAGTCAAACCCACCCACAAGACCAATTTAAGTTTTAAAATATTCATTAACTGTCTGCATTATAGGAAATATGCTAACCAATGAGAAAGACTTCCCTATTCTGCCAGAGCACAAAAATGTCAGAGAATAATATAAACTCAATGCCTTTAAGCAATAACTCTTCTTCCTTCACCCATAGTAACCGTTGGCCAAGTTTTTAAAGTAATTTTGTTAATATGATATTCATATATCATACACTTCCATAATTAAATTGCTTTCTAAAGAGTTGTATGTACATCATCACAATCAGTTCTAATGTGCCTTCCCCCCTCCTGCCTTCACTGTTTTCTCCCCAAACCTCCTCATCCTCACCCCCAATGCATGCCCCCTCCAAGCCCCCAATAAACCATTGCATCAGTTATTGTCTCTGTGCATCCAGTCCTTCTGTGCTTCACTGAAAGACCCAACAGAAATAATAAAAAACAGGAATGAAACAGCAAGAAGAAAATAATAATAATATAAAGATAAAAATAAATAAATAATGAGAAAGAAAAGACCACCATCAATATATTAAAAGCCACGGAGGAAATTTCTGTCTTGGAACAAGCAAGACAGATTTGAGCCTAGAGAAAATTCAGGTTGGGTCAAGAGAGAGGTCAACTGACCGAGTATCACATTATACGATGGTTCAATCCACATAGTCAGGTTGACAATCATCTCTGTCTGATATAGCAAAACTGTTGGAGTCCCTTACCTGTAGCTAGAGGGGATCTGCCTGAGGCTTAATCTGACTAGATATTCTGCAGATGGGTTTTGGGTGTCCACTGCCCTCCATCGTCCTCTACAAATTGGGTGTTGACCATTTAAGCTCTGACACTTTTCCCTTCATCATCTTTGGATCACATGGGCTGGTGTGCTGCTTTGGTTGGACTTAGTTCATGCCTCATTTAGATGGCTACTTGTTTGACATGAGCCTTTAAGACCCCAGACTCTATTCCAATTGATAGCTGGGCACCATCTGCTTTCTTCAGCACACTTTGCTGTAGCACCTTAATCTTCAATGATCTCTTTATGAAGGTGAGTATCGAGCAGGGCCATGTCATTAGAACTAAATGTTTTTGGATTGGGGCCCAGAAGCCATCTGCTTGTCCATGGGTTATGAATGACTCTGGTTTATTTTGGTGGTCATATTATGACCAAAATAAAATCCAACAATAACAACAAAAAGCAGAAAACCAAAGAAACAAAACAGAGAAATATTATCAATCACCCCCGTGGGGTATAAGGCGATTGCATTGGGAACATCAATCATTATCCACTAGCATAGAATTTAAGATACTGTTGATATGAGGAGTTTATTCAATAGATAGTCCAATTGTGAGCTGTAATTCATGAGTTGTTGCTTTCTACAGATTAATTTTTTGATGGATTGAGCTCTGTTTACACTGAGCACAGGGGTTGGTGCTACAGGAAGACTTCCTGTGTCATTTCTTACGAGGGCAGATACTTGCCTATCAGATTAAAACCTGTTGTGTTAATTCAAGAGGAGCATTGACCTACTAAATATATGATGGTTCTGTGTCCCCTTTCATTGGACACCCACTAAACCAGGGGTCCCACCCAAGGTCCAATGACCACCATTTCCACAGTCATGGTGTGACCATCCTTTGCTTCCTCTCCCATCATAGGATTTCAATCCAAAGCCCAAGGGTACATATAATTGTGAGACAGAGCCCCGTTTGTTCAGTTGGGCTTCTATATTTAGTCCTTCTGGTGTGGCCCTTGGGGGACGCTAATTTTTCTATAAGGCCAGTGTCTAAGAGCATCATAGTTCTTCATGGAAGGTTAGGTATTTGTAATGTCTACCCACAAACATAAAACTGGGCTTATGATCTCCTTAAGTTTCTGTATTAGTCTAGGTACTTTAGAGAAACAAATCCGCAGCAACTCATATATAAGAGAGTTTTATGTAAAAAAAAGTGTGCATCACGAAAACATCCCAACCCAATGCTGCCCAAGCCCACAAGTCCAACATTAACCCATTAACCCAACACCAGTCCACAAAGTCCTCCACCTCACAAAACAGAGGTAATGATGCCGACTGCAGGAGGAAAGCTGAGTCAGTGAACGAATAAGCATCTCAGCACTAGCAGGGGTCTCCACACAGCTGCTCCAGCACCCAGGGCTGCATCTGGATAGGTCCTTGTGGCTTCTTCTTGGGGATGTCTTGTAGGAAGTCAATCTTGCAAGCTGAAGCAGGGAACTGCTAAGGCAGCTGCACCCTGGTGCAACCATCACAAAGCAAGAGACCTGAGAACTAGAAAGGCGAGGCTCACCACCCTTTTATCCCTCTGCTTTCAATTAGCCGCACATGTGATTATCAGCCAGGCTGGCACAATTAACTAACTCAGTTCCCTACAATAATTGTATAGCATCCCTTCCCTATGTGAAGTTGCTCCTCCCATGTACCAGGCACACCCTCCAACAGAAATATCAGCGCCTCCTCTGAAACGTAGAGGCTCCCCTTCCCTGGTCCCAACTCGATGCTCCTGTAAGAGTCTCCTCTCATTCCTGTGGAGGGCCTGTTGATTCGCCACCGCCTTGTCTCGACGTTGCATAGCACCAGGTAGATGGTGTTCTTCCTCTTCCCCCTTCCTGAAGGAGTGACCCCAGTCCATGAGACGTCTTCTTCTTGTAGGTGATTCTTAGGAAGGGCACATAAGGTGAGGGTGATGACTCATGGTCACCGGCAGACTCGCTACCCTTCTCTTATGTTTGGTGGTGGAATAATTTGAAAAACAACATCAATAACGGTTGTACAACATGAAGAGTATAACCAATGGCACTGAATTATACACATAGAAGTTGTTGAATTGGAGAATGTGGCACGTATTTTTGCCACAACTATTTAAAATAGTTACATGAATAACAATGAGTACAAGGAAGAAGAAAATGTTCTAGAATCACCACCACTGACAGATTGTGTTGATGATTGTACACCTCTTCTTGATATGTTTGAATTATTGAATTGTATGAATGTGGCTCTAATGCCAATAAAACTGTTAAAAAAACAAAACAAAATAAAAGCCCTTTGGAGTTAAAGGGGGAGGGGGATGTCAGAGATCAAAATCGTCCTTAATAAAGTGATTGGTAGGTAGTATGTGGTTTATTAGTGTTCATTGGATAAATGAATTTATGAAACATAAATATGACATTATCCCTGACTAGTCTACTATGGTAGCCTGTGTATAAACAAGGATAGATATTCTGTGTGGTAAGTGACACCGAGCATTTCATTTAGCAGCCATAATAAGAGTTGAAAAGGAAATCATACATTGGTTTTATAGATCTCCCATTTTACTCCCTAGGGTTTGGTCTTTCATTGTCAAGAACAAATCCACTGCCATCGAGACGGTTCCCACTCGGAGCAATTCTATATAGGGTTTCTGATTGTGTAAGTCTTTAAGGGACCTGATCATCTCAGTTTTCTCCCATGTAGAGTGACTAAGGGGTTTGAACTGCTAATCTGTGGGTCCAATG